ATTAAAAATTATATTAAGTGAAATAAAAATAAAAATCTCAATTTTATCCTTTATTTATTATAATTTTAAAATACATAAATATCAAAATACCCACAGAAAATTGTCGAAGAGGTAATTCTTACGAAAATAAACCAAACGCCCCACGAAATAAAGGGCAAACCCAGACCTTCGGTTTCCCATTGTATACCCTGTAGTGTGAACGGCACAAGATGTTAAGATTCCTCTCTGTCTCTCTCATGCGGCTGTCACTCTCTACTTTAATTGGGGGACGTGTGGCCTCCACAGTCCACAGTATTCGTTTTCTTATTTAATGGGGCGTGTGCCCTCCACACTCCTACCATATCCAAACACCAAACTCATTTCCACCACCTTGCTTTTTGCTTTGCTTTTCTTCCAAGTATTCCATGGCAGCAGCCACTGTTCCTCAGCCCGAAGAAACTAGATCTCCAAACTCAATCGAGAGGGGAGTTTCCGATCAAGAAGTCAACATCAGATTCGACTACTCCAAGAGAGCACAGTGGCTTCGGGCCGCTGTCTTAGGCGCAAACGATGGTTTGCTCTCAACTGCCTCCCTCATGATGGGAGTTGGCGCCGTGCGAACGGACGTTTCCACCATGTTCCTCACCGGGCTCGCCGGTCTGGTGGCAGGTGCGTGTAGCATGGCGATTGGTGAGTTTGTGTCTGTTTACTCACAGTATGACATCGAAATGGCGCAAATTAAGCGAGATATCATGTCTGGGAATTGTGACGATCGAGATCTGGAGGTGAGGGAGAAGAGTCTGCCTAGTCCGCTGAGGGCGGCGGGTGCGTCTGCGCTGGCTTTTGTGGTTGGGGCCGTGGTGCCGCTGCTAGGGGCGGCGTTTATAAAGGACTATATGGTGAGGTTGGGAGTGATGACGGCCGTGGTGAGCTTAGCATTGCTGGGTTTCGGTGGGTTGGGGGCGGTGCTGGGAGATGCGCCGGTGGTAAAATCATCTTTCAGGGTGCTTGTCGGAGGCTGGTTGGCCATGGGAATAACTTTCGGCCTCATTAAGGCAATTGGTACTTCTGGACTATAATTAATTCGTTAGTCATGTAAGAATGTGTTCATTAAAAAAGTATTTAACTGAACGCTTCTACACGGATTGGGGTTTCTTTTTTTTTTTTTTTTTTTTTT